TTTTAATTATTCTTGGTGCGATGAGTTAGGAGAGTTGTTTAAAAAGGTCGTGTGTATATGAAGTTTAGTTTGATTGCTCGAGGACGAGCAATGGTTTAAGCGTAAGGTGTTGATGGTAGGCTATAATTACGTATTTTAGTCGCTTATTTCACTCTAATTCACTGCACTTTAATTGTGTATGAGCTTTAATTGCTAGTGTTTTGCACTTACTATGTGTTTTATGCCTTGTAGGAGTGATTCCGAGTTATGCAAATGTTGTGGAACTAATTCGAGCTATTTGGAGCTTTGAAGTCTGAGTAGAAGCCCAAAGGATTCAACCGGGATAGTGTTTGGAGATCGAGGATCACTTCTGGACATCAGAAATCAAAGAAGAAGCAACAACTGAAGAAATGCACTAGTGCGACGCTTAGTGCGATGCAGTAGGGTAAATTTATGTCAGAAAATTGAGAAAGTTTAGAGATGTGTTTTTGTAGTCTGACAAGAAAAATCACTAATGCTACGCACCCAGCGACACATAGTGCGACGCATGAAACGCAATAAGTTTGCAAGTTTTCCTATTTTGACTAGGAAAGGGGGATTTCGTCTAGGACCGACCCTACTTGGTATAAATACATGGAAAACGTTATTTTCTGAACTTTGACATACTTTAGATCTAAGGAAGCTAAGGAAGAGTTGGAGGATAAAGCACAAGGATTTCATCATTCCTTCCTCACTCAAGACCCGAGTTTGGATTGAATTTATGTTTTCCTATCTTTTTATCATATTTGTGATGAATTACTCCATGTCTATAGAGTATTTCCCTTTAGGGTTTGATGGATTTGGTGTATTGATATTTGTTTGTGGATTATAACTCTAGTTTTTATGTATTGAAGCATTTTTGGATGATTTAATTGTTGCATCTATATTCACTTGTTCATGTAATCGAGAGAGGCATAACTTGTGATATCTTTGCATTATATTGTTGGTTGAATTCCTTAATTCTTCGTAGTAATCGAAAGAGGCTAGTTGAATCATTGATTAACTAGTTAGGAGGATAACCGAGAGACGTTCTCCAAAAGACCAATCCACTATGCATTCTTGCATATCTTCACCTAGCTTAAATTGGTTCATCTTGTGAGATTGAGACTTAATCGAGAGAGGGGTTTCTACTAAACGTTTGAACTAATAATTGAGTGTATTTGGGAGACTCACTTGAACATTATAAGTGAATTTTCTAGAGTTAGATCCCAAACAATTATCTTGCACCTATCCTATTAAAACTCTATCTTCTCCCAATGATAACCTTCTTTGCTTATTCCTTGTTTCAATTGTCACTAGTCAATACTTTAGATTCTTAGCTAATGTTAGTTAGAAATCATATAATTCTCAACTGTTGATCATCTTGTATAGCAATCATACTAGAAACTAGGAAAATACTATTTAACTCCAATCCATATGGATACGATATGATACTATACTGTATTTGATTAGCAAGCATAATTTTAAGCGGTGTTTTGCGCTCGTCAAATTTTTGCACCGTTGCCGGGGATTGGCAATCAATAGTGTTTGAAATAGTTTGTAGTGCTATTTCAAGAATTTTTTTTCTTTGTATTTTATTTTATTTCCCTTTTTACGGTTGGTCTTTGACTATGCGCAGGTTACAGGTTAAGATTGGTGCATGACTCGATCTTCCGGGAAAGAAGTGCTACCATACGAACCAGAGATAGAAAAACAACTGCGACAGCTGAGGAAGGAAAGATATCTCACTGATACTTCAGAGAAGGTTGGACAATCCTCAACCAAAGAAACTATGGCTGGAGACGATGATGATAATGTAGATTTGGATGCAAGAGAGGTAGCCCAACAACGAGAAAAAGCTACAAGGGATGCTGAGGAAACATCTATTAGAGATGCACAGATTATCTACGAAGAAGATAAGGGTTGGAGAATGGCTCAAAATCAAACCTTGGCTGCAGACCAGATCGGAAATATAGATCCCATGCTTGGGAGATCACTTGGACATTATGCTAGACCGGTCTACAATCAAGGCTTCTCAAGTGTTAGACCACTTCCAATTGCAGCAAACAACTTCGAGTCGAAGCAACGGTTGCTTCAAACCCTTCAGAATTGATGTTCTTTCAGAGGGAAGATGAACGAAGATCCAAACACACATCTAATAGACTTTGAGGAAATTGTGAACACCTTTTTTTTTGGTAACTAAATATTTTTATTCATCACCAAAGTATCTTTACAAACCAGTAGCTAACTAACAAAGTTAGCTATTTCATGTTCTGTTCTAACACTAATGCTATCTAGAATCTAAGTGCTTGTACTATTTCTCTAGCTTTTGCTGGTGCTCTAATACTACAAATACAAGCAATATCTCTATCTATCGATTCATTATTTCTATACATTTTTTAAATAATCTCATGTTTCTCTATATCCAAATACTATTAACAAATTCCGTGTATATCATCTTGAATATCTGCGCTGCTTGAGTTTTCCCTTTTGCTCTGCTGATGATCTTCAATTGATGCTGCTGCCATCCCCTTGTAGTCATTGATTTGACATGTGCCCATTGATTCACTATATGCCATACTTCTTTGGCAAAGCCACATTCCAGAAAGAGATGCTCATGTGTTTCCTCAGCATTTTTGCACATCACACATTGAGTAGCTATTACCAGTCCCCATTTAGCTAACCTATCAGTGGTTAGCAGTCTTCCCTGAAGTTCCAACCATAGTGTAAATCTTGTTTTAGGTCTAGCTGCATTGCCAAACATCATGCTTTTCCATGGTACTCTTGTTTCCTCACAATTCAGTTGGATATATATTTGTCTTGTAATACTCTTACCTTTCTTGAACCTCCATTGTATACCTTCAAATATTGATCTAGCTTCCATGATCTTCCTAAGCATCCAACATGCATGCTGAGGTATTGTCATAGTTTCTATTGCTTGTCCTTTGATATAGTACACATGGATCCATTTGATCCACAACTTGTCTTGCTTATGTGCTAGGTCCCAGTAGTTCTTAGCTATAACAGCCTTATTCCATAACTGTAAGTTAGCCAAACCCAGACCTCTAACACTCTTAGGAGCACAAACTCTTTCCCAGGACACTAGAGCTTTCTTACTGATGGTGTTGTATCCAGACCATATGTAACTTCGACAGTAAGCATCAATAGTTTTTAGTACTTTGAAAGGAAGAAAAAAGAGTTGAGCCCAGTAAGCTTGGATTCCAAATAGGATTGTTTGCACCAGTTGCACTCTTCCAGCATATGATAACGTTTTTGCAGTCCACGATGATATTCTTGTTACTATCCTTTCAATAAGTGGTTGCCATTGAACCAGGGATAGCTTCTTGGTCGATAGAGGAACCCCAAGATATTTAAATGGAAGCTCACCTTCAGACAAACCCAACTCTTGTAGTATTCTGTCTCTATCCTCTCTGCTAACTCCTCCAAAGTATATTGAGCTTTTACCTAATTTGCTTTGAGGTCTAAAGCTTTTGAGAACTGATTAAAGCATTGTTGAAGAGCAACCACTGATGATATGTCACCTCTGGAAAAAAGCAATAAGTCATCAGCAAAGCACAAATGTGTGATTGCTAATTTTGAACATCTCGGATGATAGTGAAAGCCTGTCTTCTTTGTCATTCCTCTTAGGCTCCTACTCAAGTATTCCATTGCTATAGCAAATAGAAAAGGAGACATAGGGTCTCCTTGTCTAGGTCCTTTAGCTGCATTAAAAGGTACTGAAGGCTCCCCATTAATTAGAATAGTGTAGCTGACTGTTTGCATGCATTCTAGGATCCATTTGATAAACTGATTAGGAAATCCCAACTCCTCCATGATTTGTTCCAAGAATATCCATTCTACTGAATCATAAACCTTTTGTAAGTCTATCTTTATCATGCATCTTGGAGACACAAGTTTTCTTGTGTAGGCTTTCACTAATTCATGTGCTAGGATGATGTTGTCTCCAATTTTCCTCCCTGGGATGAAGCTTGCCTGTGATTCACTAATTATGGAAGCAATGACTGTTTGAATTCTTGCTGTTATGACCTTTGAAATCAGTTTGTACAAAGCAGTGCAACAGGCTATTGGTCTATACTCTTTCACTGTTATTGGCTTGTCATTTTTTGGTAGTAATGTAATGGCTGTACAGTTGATGGCCTTGTACATCTTCCCTTTGTTAAAATACTCTTTTACTGCTTCACACACTTCCTCCTTAATGATACCCCATGCTTTTTTGAAGAAAGTAGCATTATACCCATCAATCCTAGGAGCTTTGTCTTCATCTATGGACTCAAGCCCTCTTTGAATTTCTTCCTCACAGACTAGAGCAATTAAGTCTAGCTTTTGCTGATGAGATAATGTTGGTCCACCCTTCATGTTCACTTTGTTAATAGCTGGTAACTCCTTTGCTGAAGACCCCATCAAGGATTTATAAAACTTCACTATCTCCTCTTGGATGTCTTTTGATTCAGTGAGATTCATTCCCTCTAGGGATGTGATCTCCTTAATAAGTTTTTTCTGACTTCTCTCTTTCACCACAACTGAGAAATATTTTGTATTCGAATCCCCTAGTTGGATCCATTTGATTCTTGATTTTTGCTTCATGATGCTCTCTTCTATCATGGACCATTTTTCCAGATTCTGCAATGTAATTCTTTCCTGCTCCATAAGATCATCTGACCATTGTGAATTCAGCTGCTTCTGGATTATCACTAAATCAATTCTTGCTTTGTCTACTCTTTGTGTGATGCTTCTGAACTCCTAATTTATGGTTTAAGAGCCTTCATTTTCAGCCATATGTTTGCCATCTTCCAATTGGTAAATCTCTGTTGCCATACTTTCCCCACTATTTCCAGAAACTTATCATGATCAGCCCAAGAGTTGAAGAATCTGAATGGAACTTTGATATTATTCTGGCTTGCTTGTAATGAGAACATCATTGGGGTATGATCCAAGATTAGAGGCACATCATATTCCATTACAATATGGCCCCATTCCATCATCTAGTAATGGTTTCCAAAAGCCCTGTCAAGTCTGCTACATATTCTATCATTGGTTTGCTGCTTGTTAGTCCATGTGTAGTATTCACCAGTCCACCTTACTTCATTAAGCAATAAATCATGGATACAGTCATTGAAATCTTTGATCTCTCCATACTGCACTGGATTCCCATATAGTCTATCCTGTGGATATAGCATTGCATTAAAGTCTCCAATAATTAACCATGGCATATTTATTCTTTGAGCAAGTACTTTAAGTGTTTCCCACATATTTTTCCTTTGCTCACATGTGTTATATCCATAGATGACAGTTATAACACATGGCTTATCTGATGCTACTATAGTAACTTGACAGTGTAGTAATTGAGCATCCTCTCTCAACTTATCTACTGTATATAAGCTGATATCCCATAATAACCAAATTCTCCCATTAGGTGCACTAAGATAATTGTTGTGAAATCGCCATTTGGGAGCCACAACTGCTGCAACAGTTGCTACTTTATGTTCTTTGACTTTAGTTTCTGTTATTCCTGCTAGTGTAATATGTTTTGCCTATAAATACTTTCTCAGTTCCTTCTGTTTATACTTTTTATTTGCTCCCCTTACATTCCAAAAGAGCTAATTCATTTGCTAACAACTGGCTCCACCTCCTTTGTCAGGAGGTGCTGATTGGGATCCACCATAACCTCTATTCAACACATCAAAACCATTCTTAATTGGCACTGAACAAAAGATAGGGAACTCTTGTAAACTGGTTCTGGCACACTGCTTACTGCTTTCTCTTTATCAGGAGTTGATCTTATTTCCTTCTTTGGGTTGTTGAACCTGCAGTACAACAGTTGCCTGTATCTCTGCAACTTTTGTGTGTTTGTCAATAGTATCTGTATTCCTGGCCTCTTTCCTTTTCCCCTGTTCTGTTCCTGTGCTATTGCTAATTTGTTGTTCTGTTGTTTGTTCTTTTGTTACCCATGTTTGTACAGTCTTCTTGGATCCTCCTTGTTTGGCTGGTTGCTCTTCATTCCTTCTCTGCACCTTTGGGAAAACATGGCCAATGGCTTGTTATTTATCACAGAACATTGGCTTCCAATCGTATGTAACAGCTTGTTGAAAAACTCTGCCACTAGGATCCATTACTTCAATTTCATCTGGCAATGGCTTTGTCACATTGACTTCCACTAGTATTCGAGCAAAGGAAACACACATTTGTTTGGCTGTGCACTCATCAGCATACATTGGTATCCCAATAGCACTTGCTATCCTGCTTAGTGAATTAATTCCCCACCAATTCATTGGTAATTTTGGGAATTTAATCCACAGTGGTATCTCAGTTGGGAACTCCTTATCAAAATCGAAATCCGCTGTCCAGGCTTCAAAATGATAGGTCGATTATTAATAGTGTAAGGACTAGTACATAAAATTTCCTGCATATCATCACTGAAATTTGATGATTGTAATATCCATCATCATGCATAAACAAATTTGGATTTGCTATTTTGTTCCACTTAAGATCTATATACATGCGCATAGCATTATACCCTGGGCAATCCCCAATTACATAAGCAATTAGGGCTCCTTTCCATTTTTCAGTTTCACGATCCACTTCCTCCTTTTCCAGTTGAATCACTACTTTGCCATTTACTAATTGAGGAGCAATATAAGATAGGGTCATATCATTCTCCATTGATCGATTCTTCGCAAACAGATTTGCCCATTGGTGAGCAGGTTGTTGTACTGTAGCATGCAGTACTGTTCCATTGGACTCATGTGATTTCTCCACCTCATCTATGTTGGACTTTGCTTTGGCTGTTGCTTCAACTTCCTTTCCTTCGATTGAGCTAGATCTGGTCTCAATTGAAGTTTCTTAGCAGCTGCTGTTCCTTTCGAAGATGATCCAATATCTATCTGGCTCAACTCACTCATTTGGATTGTGAACACCTTTCAATATAATGGGGTGTCCCAATATGTTGTATACTTAAGGGCATTCCCTTTCACACTCAAAGATGATGCAAAGTAGTGGCTTCGAAGCTTGCCCAATGGATCGATTAGAACATGGGATGAGATGACCAAAAAATTTCTTGATAAATACTTCTCATCAGCTAAAATGGGCAAGTTTAGAAGAGTAATCCATAACTTCCAAGAAAAAGACTAAAACTGTGTTTGAAGCATGAGAGAGGTTTAAGGAGATAGTACGAAAGTATCAACACAGTGTAATTGAACTCTGGATGCAACTCCAGGACTTTTAGGATGGATTGACACCGGCCTCACGTAGAACATTGAGCAATGTAGTTGGAGGCCCGTTGATGAAGAAGACTCCAGAGGAAATAGTTATTATTCTTGATGAGCTATCTGAAGATGCAAATCAGTGGCCCTCTAAGAGTGCTGAAATCGTTAGGAGTTCGATTACCTAGGAGATTACATCTTTATTGAACTTGAAAATTGATATTTCTCTATGACATGAGATCGGACATATAGTTGATGTTTCTTATATTGTTGAGATAGCATGTGGCACCTGGGGATTTTAAACTGATGATATTTTGCTAACGGATTTTGTTATATACTGTTCCGTGCCCTATTGATCTTGTTATATATCATGTCTGCCTATGATTCATGCACTTTATTTATTGGACCACAAGTAAGTGTCGATATCAATCCCTCGTTACTACTCCTCTGGGTTAGGCTAGATACTTACTGGCTACACGTTGATTTATGTACTCATGCTACAATTCTGCACTACACGTACAGGATCTGAAAGGTTCATTTGGTGGTCATCCTGGAGTGTAGGTGCAACAACTGAGGGGTCTTTGTGGTTCTATGCTACGCACTGCAGCCCTCAGAGGCTCCATCTTATTTATTTACTTTATCCTTTTTATTTCATATTCCAGACAGACGTTGTATTATTATTGCACTCTTTAGCAGATGCTCATGAACTTGTGACACCGGGTTTTGGGATATTTTAGTTGATATTTTATGGGATTGGACAACATTGTCACCTTTCATCTTTATAATTTTACTATTTTTTTGTGTATTCATGATTCTAAATGCACAAATTTTTTTATTGAATAAAATTAATGATTTCAAAATTAATGAAATTAATAAATGAGTTGGTAGTTCACCGTTGGCTTGCCTAACAGCGACGTTGGGCGCCATCATGACCTATAGCGGGGTTTGGGTCGTGATATTTTTGCCAAAAATCTTAACGATGATAAAGCAACGCCAAGGGTGGTAGAGATTGATTTTTTGTTCTTGGCTGAGAATGATGGGCCAGTGGCGTCATCAATGGTGGTTGAGTTGGCCATTACCTCTGTTTGGTGGTACTGAGTGTGGTAAACACTTGACTTTGTCAAGTTATTTTCCGATAGTATCTTCTTAAAGGTGTTCATTTTTTTCCTTTTGAGTTGGTTGAACTTCCTTTAGTGTTGAACTAGTGTCCGATGGGTGGGGGAGTTTTGATGGTGGTGGTAGTGTTTGATCCTGTGCGATGGGTGGGGATGGGGCCATCTTAGGGGGGAGGGAATAATTTTAGAGAGATTTTCTCTCTATATTATCTTTTCTCGTGATTTTTAATGTCACAACATTATTTGACAACTATGACGTATTTTTTACGAGATTTATGCCTACATATTAAGTATAGATTTTTATAATTAACATCATTTAAGAATTTAAATTATTTATTTATTTTTTATTAATAACTCAAACATATTTTATACCAATATTTATTTACGTGATTTTAAAATAATTATACTTAATATTTTAAGAATAACTACTAATGTTATATAAATAAACCTAACAACAAATTTAAATATTTAAGGTACCTAACAATATAAAAATTTATGGAATAATTTATATGATGTTAATTGCCACACAGTTAAAGTTGGTCGGGCGTATCCACTTTTGGTTTATAGCTTTAAAAACTAAGCTATTCCTTCAAAAAATAAATTCATGTTAAAATTATATAAGCATCTAAGATTCTATTTATAGAATGTGATTTAAGGATCAAGGTCTGTTTTTAAAATTTTTTCGATATACGAGTCTAATTGTCACGACAGCAATTCCCACCCTCGGGACCGTGATGACGCCTCACATTTTACTTGCTAGGCAAGCCAACATTAGTTATATCTATTAATCATTTTTAACAATTTTAAAATTAAATGATAATAATAAAACTAAATAGTCTGAAATACGGAAATAAACTAATGAGTGACGAAATCCATATACAAATCTCGGAACTGGTATCACGAATACATGAGTGTCTAGAATACTACAGATAATGGTCTAAAATAAACATAACCATCTGAATCAAAACAAACATCTAGAATGAAGTAGAAGGGGACTTTAGGGTTATGGACGCTGTGCAGCTATACCTCAAGTCTCCACTGATAGCTAGATCCGAGCAAGTCTACTGAACGCCTTTGGTACCAACTTTGGTATCTGCACAAGAAGTGCAGATTTTAGTATGAGTACAACCGACCCCATGTACTCTATAAGTGCTGAGCCTAACCTCGACGAAGTAGTGACGAGCCTAAGACTGGTCACTTATAATAAACTGTACGCAATAATAATAATAACATAAGGCAGGAACGAAAATAAAATAGTTACTTTATGAAAACGAATTCAAAATCCAACAACCAGAGAGCCCAGAATAACGAGTCACATAAACTCATCCCAAATACCAAGGCCAATCCAACAGTCACAAACAAATACAATTTTAAAAAAATCCGTTGCGGCGTGCAACCGGATCCCTCAATATCAACTTTAAACAATCCGTTGCGGTGCAGAAACCCGATCCCACCATATCATCATCTGTCAATATCATAATCCGTCCTTATTCCGCCATTTCAATTCATTACCTTCCATTTCCTTTGTGGCATGCAACCCACTCCCCAAACAATTTCACTCAACAATAGCAAATAATCAGCCAAAAGTTACAAGAAATTCTACATCAAGAGATTAAATGTACGAAGCAATGGAGGACTACATGATAATCAACGAATCTCGAATAACTCAAATGTCTCAACCTTACCACTCCACGATATTTACCCATTTAATAACTCATATAAATAAAACTACATAATTAAAGGCAACAAATGTTACGAAACTATAAGACAAGCAAGACATGGGACAATTTAGATATGTCGGAAAACCAATTAGAGACAAGTAGAAAATAAGCATGAAAATTATGGAAGGGACGAACAAGTTAATACAAGAATAGCTAAATGACAAGTAACAATTATGGCATGGAAGTCAAATAAGCATGCAACAATTAAGGCACGTAACAAGATATACTATGAAGCAACGAAAATATGGAAGCAAGTAACACAACGATGCATATACACTCTTCACCTCGCATATACGCCATTTCACACGTAATTCACATAACATGTAGTTCAAGGATTCCTAATTCTCTCAAATCAAGGTTAGACCCAACACTTACCTCTCTCTGCAACTCAAGCAATCAATCAATCACAGCCTTGCCTTTTGAGCAAGCCTCCAAACCAACGAAATCTAGCAAATTATTAACCAAAGGATTCAAACTAAGCTTTAGCAACTACCCACAAATGAAAGAGGTTAAATTTAGGTAATTTTTGAAAAAATCAACAAAAGTCAACCCAGGCCCCCTGGTGAAAATCGAGATTCGGACCAAAACCTAATTACCCATTCACCCCTAGGCCCGGTTATGTGATTTGTTTCAAAATACGACCCTAATTCGAGGTCTAAATCTCAATTTTACAAAAACTCCCAATTCTACCCAAATCCCCAATTTCTTCCATGAAAATCCTAAATTTGATTTTGAAATCTCATGAAATGTAATGGGTAAATAAAAAGAATCGGATTAAAGTCACCTACCAATGAATTTAGTAAGAAAAGTCATTTGGAAAATCGCCTCTAGGGTATTAGAGTTGAGAAATTGTGAGAAATGAGCTAAGTCCCTTTTTCCCCCAGCCGTAGATGTCGCAATTGCAATGTTTTGTTCACAATTGTAAACATCACAAATGCGAGACAAGGTTCGCAAATGTGAACCCTGTCATAAAAGAGCAAAAGTCACAAATGCGACATTGAGGTCGCAAATGAGAACCCTGAACCATCGTAAATGCGACCCATAACTTCGAAAATGCGAAGCAGTACACTGGTGGTCAGTGATCGCAATTGCGACCACTTTCTTCGAAAATGCGAAGGTCCACTGTTCGCAAATGCGCGATTCACCCATCCCAGCCCATGCTCGTAAATGTGATTAATTTTTCTCAAAATCAAGGCTCGCGATTGCGAGATCTGCAATAGAACACCAGAACTGGTATTGCACCAGCAGACTTCTCCTAAGAAGAACTCATCTGAAACACGTCGGAAACTCACCCGAGCCCCTCGACTCCAAACCAAACATGCACACAAGTATAACAACATCATATGAACTTGCTCGCGCAATTAAATCACCAAAATAACATCTAAATATATGAATCTATCCTCAAAACAAATGAACTTTCCAAGTAAAGCTCAAGAACACTAAAATCACGTTTAAGTGTCTGAATCATGTCAAATCAATTCCAAATTGAACCAAATTTTGCAGAAAAGTTTCAAATAGCAATACGGAACTATTCTAAGCTTTAACATCAAAATTCGAACCTGTTAGCTAAGGAGTCAACTTTTGGTCAAACCTTGTAATTCTTCAACTTTCAAAGTTGCTAGTTTTCGGCAAAATGAGTTAAAACAAGTTAGGGACTTTCGAATTTAATTTCGGGCATACCCCCAAGTAAATCACGATACGGACCCACCAAGACTGTTAAATACTAATTCGGGTCCGTATATACAAAATACTGATCGTAGTCAACTCAAGATAAAATTTCATATTTTCTTCAATTTTTTCCAAAAAGATTTTCTGGAATAAGGCATGGATTGCGCACGTAAATCGAGGAATACTAAACTAAGCTAATCGAGTCTCGGAATATGGGAATAGAGGTTAAATCTCAAAATGACCTATCGGGTCATCTCACTAATCTATGTATCTTTACAAATACTATTATAAATGAATAAAAAATCACAGCATGAGTTGTTGACTAACTTTTACCCTTCATAAGTGCAAATCATGTCGGGTAATATCATAATTATAAGTAATAATTTATTTTTTTAGTAGAACAAAATTCTAGGACTTTAAGGACTTTTGTAGGGTAGAGCTTCTTTCTTTATTAAGGCAACTTTAGGATTGACAATCATTTTCATAATTATACACTTTTTTTGTCTAACTTTTATTATATAACTTAAATACAATTTTCAATAAAAATTTATTTATGTGATTTGTTTCTTTTTAAATTGTACTCCTTAAGACGAGGTACACGTGTAAAGCGTGTACTTAAGACTATGCTCATCTCCATGAAATCGTCTCAAAGTTGAGATTCACATTCCTTAAGATGTACTTAATCTATTCCAACAATATCCATTTAAAATAAATTCTAATTTTGAAAACTCAAAATTTTAAATTAAGCTTAAGCAAGCTTTAATGACTGTCTATGACATTTTCAGTTTAATCCTTCGGTCCAATCCAACAAACTAACGTGTAATAGTAATTTAATAATTGTGCTTGAAACCATGTTAAATATATCGTTCAAGTGTGTACGTCATCAAAATAGTGGATGCTTTTAAAAACTAGCATTAGTTGAAAATTATTTGGATTAAAATGACATTTAGGCCTTTTCTGGCAGAGATTTTGCTTTGCTTTGGGTTGGTTTTAGTGGAAATTATTTGTAAACTGACAGTTTGGATAGTTCTCACTACTTTATTCTCATAAGGAAAATTACCATCTATGTCCGCCCATAAGTCAATTATTATAAAAATTGGCCAATTCACAAAATACAGTCAATACTAGCCAATTAGCTATTTGTAGTAAAAAAAGGTCAAATTTTGCTTTTTTTTTTGAGTGGGTGTTGTTGAGATATATTGCATACATCTTAAGGAGTTTGAATCTAATTTTTTTGGATGATTTGGTGGAGTTTTGAGGTAGTTTGAAATTGAAAATCTGAAGTAGAAGATGAATATGGAAAAATGATGATATGTATATCACATTATATATAAGTCACATATGTATTATATATGTATCAAATATGTATAACAAGTATATCCATGTGCACATGTGTGTGGTATACATGCGTGATACGTGTTTAATACATGTGCCACAGAAGATTTTTTTAAACTCGATTTTAACTACAAATATTTGATACCAAACTAGTCCATATCACCTTCAATATTGCTTAAATCTTGTATATTGCCTCATCTATATATTATCAATGCATTCAACTATACCCATTGAAAC